TCTTGACCCTCGTGCATTCAACTCCCAACAACTATATTGAGCTTGGAAATTCTATAAATAAAGTGGGGAATGTCTTAATAACTAAGAGACATCATTTGAAAGCCTTCACATTGCATTAAAGAGAACTTTTGTTCTCAAATCTTCTCTTCATCTCTCTCATTCACTCTTATTCTATCTTGAGAGATTCTAGCAAAGATTAAAAGGGTTTTTGCTCTTGTTTTAATCTTCATAGAGTTTTTGCTCTATTATACACTTGAGAGATTATAAGAGCTTACATTCTTCACTTATATCATCTCCTCTCATTCATTTCATTCATAGAGTTTGAGCTTCATTTATATTCATCAATACTCTAGTTGTGAGCTGAAAATTGTACTACTATCTTTGAGAGATCTATTGTACTTCATTGTTCTTGCTACTATATATTGTAAGGGTTAGTGTGACCCAAAGAAAGACTAAGAGAAGGTTGTTCTCTTAGTAAGGAAAATAAGCAAGGTCTTGCTTCATGTAAAGGTTTGCTCTCCACCTGTAAGGAAAAGGCATAGTGGATTGGGAAGTCTCAAGAGGAGTTTTGAGCCGAGGAGTAGGAGTTTTCGAACCTCGCTAAAATCACCGAGTCAATGTTTGCAATTTCTCTTCCCTTATCTCTCTTATAATTGTGCTATTTAATTGCTTATTTCATATCTTTATAATTGCACAATTGTGTTAAGTACTTTGTTTGAAATTGCTTTTCTATATTGCAAAAATTATCCATTATTTATTATTAACTCTATTCACCCTCCTCTAGAGTCAATACTTGGGCAACAATAAGTCATACTTATATTCGTGTCAGGTCAACAAACAGTTGAATGACATACCTTGGTTTTAGATGGATGTTTATATATATATAATTATGGTACCTCGATATGAGTTTGAATCTCAGGATCGACGGTTAGGGAGCGTATATGCAGTGGAATGCATAACTGGCTATGATGGCTAGAGGTGTGCCATGTTAGGTCTAGGTACTCATGCCCACTTCAGGTGTGTTGTGCATGTTGTCTACTAGTCAGGTTGAGACCGCCTTGTAGTCCAATGAGAGTTCCTTAGTGTGGTATATATATATATATATATATATATATATATATATATATATATATATATATATATATTTACGGACTATATAGTTATTATTGAGTTGTTTAGGATGTACATGCGTATCGGGTCTTTATTTGGATTGTAGTAGAGTAGAACTTGCTCATAGGCCTGACCCATTATTATTTTTCAGGTGATCGACAGTTCCAGTCTTAGGGATTATTCGTGCTGAGTAGAGACAGTCACTCACTCTTCCGACGACGTAGGACTTTTCTTTATGCTTTAGTTTTGGATTTTCTTTTCAGTTCAGTTAGTTTATTTTCCAGCTAGGATATTATTAGGGATTCACTAGATGGATTCCCGAGTTGTAATAATATTGAAAGTTTTGAAAATATTGGATTATTTTATTATTACTTTGAGGATTTATTATTTAGATTTCTTTCCGCTTATTTAATTATTTATTCTTTAAATTCCTCTTGTATTATATGCTTGTTTATATATTTAATTGTTTGGTATCCCTCGAATCTGTGCTCAGACTTGATCATCCGTGGCTCTAGAATGGAGGGGTATCACATGCTTATATTGGATCGGCATACCACACTCGCACGATGACGAGCATCCTAAATACTTTCTCACAAAAATATCATTTAATAAATATATAAATATTCAATTTTATAGGTATATAACTAAAAATAAGAAAAATTAGTGGCATATAACAGTAAACAAAAATTTTCACTCCGTCCCTAGGTAAATTACATTGACCTCTAGGTTTTTTTTTTTTTTTTTCGAACCTTCCTATGATTTTCAAAATACCTTAAAAACAGAACTTTGTTACAGGGGCCTTCTTTTTAATAGTCAGTGTTAGTTATTGACAAAAAAATGTTGATGTCATTTACTAAATATAGTTAAAATATCATTAGTTAAAAGAGATTTTGAACCCTGTAAAGTAATGTGCAATTAAAAATTACCGCTCATCTCTTCCAACATAACTGTTACACACTCTTCACAGCCCATTTTCAATCCATTACCATCTTCCAAATCATCTTCAGAGTTGATTTGGGTACATGTACAATGTAATATTATTTTCATGCAATGAACTCTAACATTTATATACACACATATACATATATGTATTTAAGAATGCTCAGGTCTCTGTTATTGTTATCGATGATGTGCACAGGTGCTTTTTTTGTATCTTTCAAATTTAATGGAAGTAAAACTAGGTACAATGGTTGTATCTGAATTTTGGGTTTTTGGGCTGAAAATGCTCAGCCCAGGTCTCTTACCGTATGCACGTGGTTTGAGCACCCATAAGCCACTCTATTAATCGACCATTGACCACGGAAAATTCATTTTATGTTCATTTGTTGTAACTCTATTATAAAATATTTTTTTCGATAGAGAATTTTTTTTTTCCATAAAATATAATTATTTTTTAACTTTGTTTTTTTCGATAAAATATAGATATTTTTTAACTTTGTTTTTTCGGTGTTTAGTTAAAGTGTAAGTAGAGATTGATGTCGAGTCCATCAGGTGAGACGTGTAAAATAAATTGTTGAAAATTGAAAGGTAAATTATTTTTGTTAAGTTTTAATATATATATATATATATATATTTTTTTTTGGCAAATATTTTACGACAACCAAACAAAAAATAAATAAAATTTTTTTTACATCCAAACAAACATAAATTTAGTACCCCAAATATTTCATAAAGTGATTACTCTAAAACTCCACCATACTATGCAATATTAGTATCATACTTTGACCGGATTTAATAATAATAATAATAATAATAATAATAATAATAAGAAAAAACAATAATTCCTCTGTCTAATATTAGTTGTCAAAATTCATGTGGCCAACTCATTGAATAAAGTTCAAGGCAAAGACCATGATAGATGAATTTAACCCTCTTTGATCAACGAATTGTGATTTTGGAATTAACTTCTCTCTCTCAGGAAACCAAAAACAAAAAAAACAAGAAAAGAAGTGAAACACCTTAGCTACAAAATGGAAGTGTTGAGGCACCAATCCTAACTATGTTTGGTATCAAAACAAAAAAAACAAAAAAACAAAAAAACAAAAAAGAAGAGAGAACGGATAACATTAATTACAAGAGAAAAAGAAAAGTCATCTTTTCATCATGTTTGGTTGGTTAACAAGGAAAAAGAAAGGAAATGATACTCTTAACACTTTAATCATGTTTGAAAAATATATATATATATATATATATATATATATATATATTAATAAATTTACCACTATATCCTATTATATTTAGAAACTTAGAAGACTAATAAGATAAGAAGTTGAAAAAAAAATACAAAAATTGTGCTCAACATCATTCAAGCCGATGTGACTATTCGAATACAAGGAAATGATTAAAGAGAATAAAAACATACTCCAGGACTGGAGATATTTTGATTTTGTCTTTTGTAAAAACAAGGGTAGAATCAATATTTGAAATTTTCATTAAACTTTTTAACCCTTTCCTTCTATTTGGAGGATCACAAACTTACCCATCATGCCTAATTCGTTTCTCCCTATTTCCTCTCAAAATTTTATATCAAACACAATATATCATTCAATTCCCTTTCTTTCTTTTCCTTCCTTCCATTTCTCTCCAACCAAACTGGGCCCTAGGCATTAAATTGTAACAATTTCAGTCAAAGGGAATAACAAGCACATTCAATGTATTGGTGTTGTGCGTGTGCAAGATGCCACTGTTCGATCCCACAACCTCTCCTAGTTAGGAAGAATTTAAACATTATTGCCACCAGGTTAGGGAACAAAGCGCTCAAGCACATTCAATGCAACATATGCAAATTCAGTTTATGGCATGGTAATTTTTACCCTTTTTGTGGGATAGATGCAAATACAAAGACAAAAGAGTTTTGTGGGACCCTTGAATTCAAATTTCCGAACACACCCAAAATGGAACAGGAATCAGAAAATGCTAGGTTTTGCCAAACAAGGTCATATAAAACAAGACATTAAGCATGATTGACAGACAATGCTTCTCCAGTTATATAACTAACATGCCTTGTTGTGGGACTACATAACATAAAGCTAAATAACTTGGATAATTCCTATTCTCAACATACACACAGAATACAAACAAACACACCCTCAACAATAATTTGAATAATTCCTCCCCTCCTCAACAACCTCCAACCCAACACAATCTTACACACACACACACAAACTGAAAATATTCCTAAATTAAGTCATCCTCTCAACATGCCCCAACACACTTATTAGCACACAAAAGTAGGAAGAAGAAATAACATGAATAATTCCTCCCACAACATCCCCAGACTCAACACACATACACACAATGCAGAAAGGGGATAACAGAAATAGGGAGTGTTGGATACAAGTTGAAAGGACATGGGAATAATGGCTTTCTCACCGACTCGGTCGACTCAGTAGGTCAACAAGCAATAGTTTCACGGCGGTTCCAGTGAATATGATTTTGATTTCCAACAAACAATCAAGGCAAAGAAGGAACCTATCCAACCATTGAGACGCAAAAGTTGGAACAAAAAATTAACAAAAACCGATAAACAATGATACTCTCCGCACTTCTGAGATCAAAACGCAATGTAAGTCCTGATAGAACTTTTAGAAATTCACAATCTCCTTTTGTTCAGATTCTGACAAATTTGAAACCCCGGATTAGATATATGGTTACCGTAATCAAATATTCAATTATTATCAGGTAGGAAAACCCCAATACAACAACCAATTTTCGTAGTGCAGTTTAATCTGTCGTATTTATATAGTTGCAAGTACAAGAAACATAATTGTAAATGTAATAAATCCCATAGACAACGTATTCAATTCGTAATTATTGATATTTCCTTTTCAATATGGCAACACCAATCTCAAACCTAGAATTAAAATTTCTGGTCCATTTATACTAATATATTCTTGAGCAGATTTCTAAATTTTATAACTACTGTTGCAAAGTGATGAACATTTATAACCCAGCAACAATAAACTATAGAAAATTTCTATTCAATCAAAACATAAACACCTCTAAGAAAGGTGATCTATTAAAGCAACATCCCTAAACTGTTAAAGAAGAAAAAGGGAATTGTCTATAAATGAAGGATTGTTCTTACAATCAGATACCTCAGTACCACAGAGTTGTTCCATCTTGCACTAGGCTTCATATTGGCGATCTTTATGTGCCTCCAGCTTAGATAACGATTTTCATGAAATATACACACAAGCAATTCATGCCAATTGTAAACAGAGTTCATTGATTGAACATGAGGCGCTTGAAGTGATCTTTGTGAAGCTTTCCATGAGAATTTATGTGTTTGCCGATTGGGATGGTATCTTGGCGTGGTTGTGCTCGCCTTCATAAGTTACAATAAGCATTGAGGGTTCTTCCAAGCACCTCTCGACATGTTTTCTTGCAGGACAACCTCTCATGCTACTACATTTGTAGTATCCCCTGCACAACCCCAAGAAGCACTTTTCAGTTGAATTAAATTCCTCAAAATTGAGAATCGACAGTTTTAAACCATCTTCATAACTAAATGAGAGCAAACTTTATTCCCAAATTTTCACATCGAACCCTTCATTTGGCTACCAATAAAACAGATCAAAATATTTTAAATATTTATAAGCAACAGGAGTAAAACTGATAATCTGAAGATTACATATATTAATTACTTCTCCTCTCTTAGCAAATTCATGTACCACGAATGCCCGCACCTACAACTTTTAATGCTTTTATTTTCAATGTTTCACCTACACCAAACACCATAGCAATTTGATAACCTATTATTGTAATACTATGAAAAAGGAAGTACAGTACACCCTGCAGAACACTTATGGCTTGAGTTTATAATTTAGCATCCATGCATATCAACTTGAAGAGAAACAACTACTTAATTATTCAAAAAAAAAAAATACACAAGGGTCCTTTTGCAATTCTTTCCACGACATAGTCGCCTGAAATTGCAATGTAAAATCTAGAGCAATAAACAAACATGTAAATTAGATAACTAGGAAAAAGAAGAAAAAAACATGAAAATTAGACGGTAAAAGCAGGCAAACATAGGTTACTGTTTTATCAATATAAATTGCAAAATCCAGAAGGCATATGAATAATAAATATGTGAAGAAATTCAATTACAAACTTTTAACTACATCTTAAAACTATTTTGTAAAGCAAAATTGAATGTACCTAGGGTGAGGAGAACCCTTGATCGGCTTCTGCCCGTACTTCCTCCAAGTATACTCATCAGGAGGGATATCTGCAAGCTTGCTACTGATAGCAGGTACCTTAACTGATCTTTTCACCCTATGTTTCCTGTTGAAACAATAAAAGGAAAAAGAAACAATTCCAAGCTATTAATAGCAATGAGTATACAAACTGATAGGAAACCACTGAAATAAAAAACCACCTCTTCTTTGAGCAATGGCATCTACCACTGCTTCCGCATTTCACGCTCCCATCATCGCCCCTTCCAGAGCACCGGAGCTTGTGCTGGTGCAAATTCTGATCTGCAGAGCGAGCTGCCCCGATTAAATGGAAAGTATTTCCATCCAAATTAGCCACACTCCCATCAATACTCAATGAAGATATAAAAGACCTAGTGGATGACATGGTGGGTGTGGACATAGAGCTATCAAAATTCAGACTGATGCCACTATTACTCCAACCATAAACCGTATCCTCCCGCTGTTTCATCTGTTGATGCTGAAGCCGGATCCTTTCTTGCTGTCGTTGCTGCTGCTGGGGGAACTGATGGTAGCTCGTCTGTGGCGTTTGTTGTGCAAGTTGCAGAGAGTTCTCTCCATTTGAATTCATTTCCAAAGATGAATTTCCCAATGTAAGAGAACTTTTAACATTTGAACCCATTTCTTGAATTGGGTTTTCGGGAAAATTAGTCTGAAAAAGTGGAAGAGGCTTGGGTTGATGTTCTATCTTACACATTGGCTGCTCCAAGAGGATGTTTTGTGGCAAGGGGGCCTGTATATTCTTGAGTTTTCTCACTCTTGCTTGACCTAAACTAGTAGTAAGAAGAGAAGTAACTCTTTTGAACCTTAATACAGCCTCCCCAGTTTCTACCATTAATTTCCTATATTGAATCTGATCTTGGCCCTGAGATATAAGACTAAGAACTCTATGGCTATACTCTACCGCTGCTTTGTTAGCTTCTTCAACCTCCTCCATCTCACCACCCCAAAAAAGAAAAAAAGAAATCCCTAAAACCCAAAAGACCCAAATCAAAACACCACAAATACTAGAAAATTTCTAAAATCTACACATTTGGAAGATCTTCAGACATCAATAAACAAATAAAACAAAAACCCAAATACTAGAAAACCCAAAAGATCCAAATAAAAAATATAAAAAAAACCACAAATACTTGAAAATTTCTAAAATTCACACATTTGGAAGATCTTCAGTCATCCATAAACAGATAAAACAGAAACCCCAAGTACTAGAAAACCCAAATTAATAAAGCAAACGCAGATAGAGATTTCTTTGATGAGAGCTCAAGAATTTCAATGAGTCAAAGTCTCAAAGACATACTCTTGTAATCAGATGAATAACCAGAAGATCAGAATCAACTGTCATGTTAAAACCAATCGAAGAGTACATAATGAGATGGAGATTAACGCGTCACAGAAATTCCAAGAAAAAAACAAGGGATCACCAAGAAAACAAGCAACAAAACCGGCAAAGAACAGACCTTTGGTTGGACTTGAGTGCTGCCAAACCCTAGAGTGGTCAATTTCCAAAGGTGTGAGATTGAAAGGTGTGAAAGGGTAGACTTTTGCTTCCCAAAAGGAAAATTTTCTTTTTTCTTTTCCCGGAAATTAAACTTTGGCAAAGAAGTTACACGCCTGAAAGAGTATAATAAAAAATGCTACTTTTTAAATAGTGGATTTAGAGAGAGAAACTACTAGAGCTTGAGAGAGAGAAAGCGGGGCATTTTGAATTACCTGGGCACAGAGAAACTCTGAAGCGAAAGCGAAACTGTCGTCTCTGTCACATATATATATATATATACATATATATTTTGTCAAATATTTCAAGACGGGTTGAATATTCGACCTTGTTATTTGTGGAGTATTATTATTTTTAATTTTGGAGTTATTTAATCTTAAACTTTTACTATTTTCGCACAACTTTTACTATTCCCAAATGCGCAATCTTGTCTTCAGAAAATGAGAATGTGGATAACGAGTTTTTGATAAATTAGAGATATGATTAATAATAAAATTAAAATTATGAATATATATTAAACAGGACTTTTAGTTAACACTATATTTAATAAGGACAATTATACTTACTTTCTTTGAGATTTTGATATATATTATAATTATATATATACCAATAAAATTACATTATTACCTTCCTAAAATTATTAAAAATAATTCACAATTATCCCCTCACTTGTGTTTTTGGTCGGTGCCTGAGTGAAGCATGCATTGTTTGGGTTTGTCATTTCCACATCACCATCAAATTTGTGAGGTACACTTCATTTGACTGGTCGAAATCTCGTCTAACAGAAATTTGAAAAAAATAAATAAAAAAAGATTTGCAAAAGACATTTGATCCTGATCTCATTTGTTTGAATTGTCTAATGAAAATATATTGTATCATTGAACAATGATAGATGATTATTATGTAAAATTGAAATTTGATTTTTTAACATTTAAAAATAGTGTCAAAAAATTAATTGTGTGCCCAATTGTTTGCTTTGGCTTTCACCACACTCAGTTTGGGAACATTACATACTATTTATTGAGTAGTGATATTCACACGAATAATTGCAGTGAATTGTTTAACCGAATAATTTTTAATTAATTATTTATATTAAATACAATTAAATAGAGGGTTCTATTTCTTTATTTGTTGCATAATTGACCAATAAAAAGAATAGGTCCACTAATTCACTATAACTATTCGGTGCAAAAATTATTATTTTTAAAATAAATGAGATTGAAATTATTATTATTATTATTATTATTGTTTACTCATGGAATTAGAAAATGAAAGAAAGAAGTCAAAGCAAAAGGTTCTAGACATCTTTTTTAATATTCAATGTACCAATCCAATTATTGGATTCTTAAAATGAATAGTGCCAAAACACATTGAATCACTCCTCAAACAAACTTATGCTTTAAACAAACATTAATATAAATATATATATATATATGAATGATTGAGTGATAAACATGTCAAAATGATGGGAAATTAGAGTCTAAAGTTGTTACAAGGGGATATACAATGAAACTTACAGTTGCACGTAAAGTTATGTGCTACTTCCTTATCATGATGTCTTATGGAAGGGGCCTTAATTATAGAGCTCGTTGATTTGGTTTAATGGGTAGGATAAATTATTACTTGTCTCAATTTATATATTATTTTCGGAGAATAAGAATTTTTAAAAAGAAATGTGCGACATGTCTTGTTTATTTGAAAAGTTACTAATTTATTCTTATATTCAAATTTAAAATTCATATATAAAAAAATATAAAATATATTATTTGAAAAAGGAGAATGGACAATTATTTTGGAACAGACCAAAAAGAAAATCATGATATTTTTTTTTTTGAGACAGGAAGTATATAATTCAAAATTATGGGCATTTGTGAAACCCATTCTCACAAAAATTTAATCTTTCGAAAAAAAAAAGAAGTATATAATTCAAAATTATATAGTTTTGACTAGTTCTAATTTCACATATAAAAATGTGTTATCTTTATTTAAATTTTTATTTGCAATAATTGATAAGAAATTTCAATTATAAATTTCTCAACTTTCAATATACCGTCTATTTTACTGGTATATGAGCTTATTTGTGAACTTAACGAACCTACACCTAATTAAGGAGGTTCTCCCCTGATTTTTTATTTATTTTTAAGTATTATACCCTTGTAATTTTGTCTTCTTTAATTATATACCCATAAAATATTATTATTACCCCTCTTTAAATTACTAAAAATTTCATTATTATTTTCTCTTCACATAAATTTTTGGGTCAGTCCCTGCTTAACAGTCGAGCCTAGCTAAAAAATAGCCTTTTTTTTTTTTTTTTTGGCATAATCGTGTTGTTGTACCAAAATAAAAAATGAGTGGAAATAGCAAAACCTCAGATGCCAAGCCAAATTAGTTTTCGCTGTAAAGATTGTGAGGAGGCAGAAGTGGGGCCCAGACTGGGAGAGCTGAAGAATGTTGCTCCCGCATATAGACGTTGCGAAACAAGGATCACTGATTGATTGCTACGTCAAAATTAGTAGCTTTAAAGAGGACACAAAAACCGTGGTTGTATTTGACTAAAGCAACACAACCACAGCCACAACCACAACCACTTAATTACTACTTTGCCCCGGGGGAATACAATGTGTTTATCTTGGTGACTGACGGGTCCCACCACGTTGACTTTATCCAAAGACTTCACACATACACTCTCTCTCTCCCCCCCCCTTGGGACGTAAGAAACAAAATGACCTTAAACCCCTCATTGTCAATCAAGAAAACATCAATTAAATGGTTAGAATACCATTATCATCATCATTATTATTATTTACTTTTATTTTTAACAATTAAACATGAACACACTCACAAGACTCAAACACTAACAAATTGATCTTTTAAAATAAACATGTTTAGACACAATTTGTTATTTGCAAATATAACTAGTAACAAAATAATATCTCCTTCCATTCATAAAAAGTAACCACCTACAGTTACTTTAATAAAGACTTTTATATATTTATTTGTTCAGAAATTTCAAAGAAGAACAACTCTCAGAGGGTTAAGTCTTACTTGAAAATGAAGAATTTTATATAAATAGATTATTCAAGTAACATGCTATTATTCTAACCAAAGAATTTTCTAATTAATTTATTTTAAAACCGAATATATTGATGGGATTGATTTGATTTTCTTCGACAAACCAATATAATCAAATCATTAACCTCTTGACATATGTTCTTCGAGATTGTGAATATATTCAATAATTTGGATTTCATGTGTCTCAACACGCTATTTCATAACACCCCCCTTAAGTACATCTTAAAGATCTAATACTATAATAAGTTAAATTAGTTCATGATGGTCAATAGTCGGAACTTTCCGAAAATCCGTGCATCTCCCTTCTCTCAATTCAAAATGCAGCAGAAAGAAGCCATCTATCACACACACAAAGGAACAATTGAGTCTGTACTAAACCTTCAAGTTCAGCCAGGAAAATGAAAGAGGAGGAGAATAAAAACCATTCACTATAAAAATAAAAATAAAAAAAACTTAACGATTAGATGAAGCCATTTAAGTTGCCCAAAAAAATCCGTTGCAAACGTGAATCAAATGGTGAAAACGAAATTTTTTTTTTTTCAAAACGATCTCGATAATTCCTGTTATATTTGTCGGAAACTATTCCTTGAGTAATCAACAATGCTATTGTTTCCTTCCCCTTCCTTTCTTGCCTGGCTGGGTTTCCATCTGCTCTTTTCCAGTGACTTCTGATATATCAGCTGCAAGGTAAAGAGGGAAGGGATTTAAAATTGTGAAAGCAATTCAGAACCCATTCCATAGAAAAGCAAAATCCAAAAACAGTCAGTTACATTAATATTTAATCAGAGTAATGGTATGCAGTAGCACAATCTGCACCTTCGAATGGAAGGTGATCCTTCGGCTCTATACCATGTTAGTCACATTTTAGGGTTTAGGTGTCATTGTGTCGTTAACGTGCATGTTAATTTACATTTACCCTCGTAAATTAAGAAAAAATTAATTGAAGACCAGTGACTCTCTAACTCAATGACCAAGACCCAAGAAGACTGTTTTCACAGACCTGTAAATCTCTTTTCCCCTTCAAATCACTTCTGGCAAAATTCACCACTAACTTTGCTTTTGGGCAAGAGCTCCTTAGGCATTCAATACTGATATCTTATCTCATTTTCATTTTCTCTATGAAGTCAATAAGAGCTCAATATTCAACAACAATCTTGCTACTCACAACAAACTCTCATGACTCACACCAACACTGCCTACCCATTAGCCAGTAGAATAGATACAAAGAGAGACGAAACACAAGGGTGAGAAACAATAAAAACAGAAAATGAAATAAAAGGAAAGGCAATCCATTTGTGAGGAGAGGACATATAGGACAAATTAGGTGCTATTATACTATTTGCTCTTAGAATACTCGAAGGTTGGTTTAGATCTACTCTTTGTAAATGGTGAATGAGGAAGGTGATACAATCTTAAGAGTTGATTCCATCACTGGTTGTTAGTCACGCTAAACAATATTACCAGTGCAGTAGATGTAATGCTTCACATTCTAAGCAAGAGATCACTTGTACAGCTCAAAGCCCATCAACGGTTATCCAACCAATCATAAAAATATATCCTTAGAATACAGTTTACATAGCCACAATGCTGAGAATTCCTATGCATATGAAAACCATCCTTAGAATACAGTTTAGATAGCCACAATGCTGAGAATTCCAATGCATATTAAATGGAGGAAAGAGTATCTTGTACAAAACCAATTTAAATAAGATTCACATGCTGCCATACAAATTTGGGTGTTGAGAGTTAATTTGGGTTTTCATATTGTCAACTCCTTGGTAAATTAGATAAATAGAGTGTTGTTTTGGTTGATGGCGGTAATGGTGATGCGTTGTTATTTAACGGTGGAAGAGACAATGGTAGTGGGTCTACTGGGGGCTTTCGGGTGTGCGTGTGCATGTGCGAGAGAGAGAGAAAGGGAAGGGAGAGGGAGAGAGAAGGCAAGAAGCCCAACGCCATGGTCCTTTTGTTTGTGGTTAAGTGGCCTGTTGTAGTGTGGTGAAGGGTAATGTGTGTGAGAGAGTAAGAGAGTATTGTAGTGACATTAAAATAGAGAACACAGGTAGAGACTGAAAATTAGAATAAGAATAGGAATAAAATAGGCTTATTAATTTCATTAACAAGGGTACATTTGATTCTTTAAACTTAGAGCCAAATTTGGGAAATGGGTCGGGTTTCCATTGTGGGGTAATCATAGATGGGGTGAGGGCATAATGGCCATAGCAAAAATAATACTATTTTTTCTGTCCTTTTTTAAACTGCAAACAAACGATAGGGGGGTATTTGCAATATTTTCGGAAACTTGAAGGTTTTTTTGCCAAATTAATAGTTCCGGGGGTCCTTTACAAAAATGTTATTCAGTTTTTTTTTTGGGTGCAATTTACCCTTCTTGAATATCAAAAGATGTTATTTCATTTTTCAGCATCATCCGGAATGGAATCCATGTAATGATAAGATTCCATTCTATAAAAGGGATTGATGCCTTCATATACGATGGAAAATAAAGCAGAACGATTCCATGTCCACAAGGAGCCATAAGGTAAACTAAGCAAAAGAACCCCTGGAGGAAGAGAAAAGATGATACCTTCAGGACCGCGAGCCATCAAAGTAAAGAATATGTTGTTGAGCTTCTCCATCTTCTTAGCATCCTGTGCCTGGTCCGTCTTAAACTTGAGGCACTAGCAAGAAAAAAAAAAAAAAAAATCTGTCATGTGTAGAACTGAAATACTTCTAAGACTTAAGAAACTTAGAATCTTGATAAGTAAAAACCAGTTATCATAAGGTAATATGTCAATAGTCTTCTTGCCTCAAAAGGCTGAAAGCTATATCACATACGTGCGAAAATATTCCAAGAGAAAGATATGTCATAGAGAAACTAATAAATTTCAAGCAGGTCTGTTCGAGCTTAACGCAAAAAACATGCATCCCATGCATAAAAACGGAGTTCTTAAGACAAGTAGAAGGTTCATGTTACCAAAAAAGCATTACAACTGTGATTTCTACATAGACACAAATTGAGTGTTGGTGTCTGACATTGGTACGAGGTGTCCACTGGTATAATCTCAATAAAATTGAATTGGGACATAAAACTAACATACTGAACATGTTAAATAAAATATATCCATCCTACAGGTTCCACAAAATCAACCAACACCATCTAACTTCCGTCAATGACTAACTTCCATATGACTCATTAAAACATCTTGTGCCTCCATCAAAAATTGTTTATTTCCAAGTTCTAAACCACATAGATCACTTATGCAAGTTCACAAAAACATCATTACAAGGAGGGGAATAAAACCTGAACTAGTAAGCTTTGTTATAATAGTTAATTTATAACAACTACTAAAATAGTATCATTGCATCATAACTACATTAAAAGTAAAAGTTCGGATTCTAAAAAGAAGCACATATTCTAGCAAAGAATCAAACTCATGAAGTGAAGTTTGTCCTACCATATGTCCTTGTCCAACTATTTGGGCTTTGTCTACGTCCCACCATCAACCCTACCTCACTCTTTTTTCTCTCATGAGGGGGGGGGGGGGGGGGGGAGAGAGAGAGAATTGGAACCAGTGTGCAAAGAATTAAATGCTAAAGCGTGATGGTCAAGTTGCCCTTGCTGTCTTGTTTTTTTGTCCCTTTTTAAGAACTCATAATTGATGACTGACATGTCCTTTCATTACAGTGTCTGCTGACTACTTGACAGTACCAACTTCTCTACTCTTTTATTGCACCTTCTACCATGTACAGAGCATCTACCTCAAATTCTCTAAAATTTTTTTGCACCTTATACCATGTACGGAGTACCTTATAAAATAAAATTGTAAAACATTCACTAGTTTCATCCAAAACTATATATATTTTTCTCTGAATCCAAATAAAACAATTGGCTCTCGCTCTCGCTCTCCTCAATATTTCCTTCTTATCCATGAAATAAATTTCCCTACTGCTAAAGGTATTTTTCATTCTTAGAGAGAAAAAAAATGGACCATAAAAAAAATTAATGCAGATATAAGCTTTGGGTTCATTCTCAGAAAATGAAACAAGAGAGTCAGAAACAGTGCAAGTAGACAATGGAACCATTTCTTCTTATCAGCCATCTTAATAAATACAGATGTCATCCCCATTTAATCTACTGGCCATCTAACAAATTTGATTGTAACTGTTTTAACTAGAAAGGGCAATATAGGAGTCCCTTTCACATCAAAGTTCTTTTTCCTTGGGATTCCTAGTCACCTCGTCATCAATCTAACATTATTACCTTACAAAACTGAACAACTAAATGAACCCTCTTAAAACTTGACCAATTTCCACATCTAATCCAAAACTAACTGAAGACAAATCTATAAAATCATCCTAATGATATTATTGCAAAACTATCTCCTGAAAGCCTAGTAATTTTGCCAAACCCCACATTGACAAGCAGGGGTGGAACTATCCCCCGGGCCTGAAAAAAACAGAGAAAATGGAAAATCCTAAAACATAGGTTCCCAACAAATACGGATTTTAAAAATACATGAAATATTTAAAATGTGGCCCCTCCATAATTAACAAGGAATCTCAATTTAAATCCTGTTAGGTCTCAAAATTCTTAAATATAACCCCTCCACTGTTATTTTTCTCATTTTATGTTTAATTTATGAAATATCTTCTTAGATCTACATTCCAAAGAATTGTAAAGGAAAATATTAATTAGGCCCCTGCAACTAAAAATTTCAAGGTCCATCCCTGTTGACAAGATATAGCCCAAGAGGCAGGCCTGGACGTCATTGATCCTTCTTCAGACCAGAATTCCCAAACAAAGTCTGAAACAAAATTTGGAGCCTTTTGGGAATGCCAAACCCCATTCACCTAAGCTTAAGGCTTAGTACCAATATTGGTTTAAACTTGTCTGGCAAAGTTAGAATAGCCATAAGCATGGTTGTTAAAATCCCGATCCAGACAGCAAAATCTTATGATCCTGCAATCCCAAATTGCAAAATCAATCCTGATCACATCTAATGGTGAGTACCAACTAGGAAAAAAAAAAAAATTGATAGAATGTCTCATGTTGGTTGTTTAACCTTATTCTCTACTTATATCAAAGATATTTGATTTAGAAAGCAGCAAGCGAGTTTGAGTTACATTTCTAATAGTTTTATAGAGTCTTATGATCCTTGATCCAATCCTACGTTCTCGATCCAATGGGCCACTCATCGATCCTACATAAAATCCCAATCCTAACAACCTTGGTCATAAGGTAGTCCAAATGGTGCAGAAAACAAGATATTTCATACTTTTAACAAACCAACTGTATTGTTGTTTGATCAAGAGTCTAAAAACTTTACAGACATTGGACCAAACTGGTCAGAAAGCTTTTCTAGTTCTGGTGAACAAGTCCCAAACCGGGATAAATAGAATTGTATGTGGTTAGAAAACCAAAATTTTATATCTTCAACAAAATTCATATGTTGAAACATGCCACCATAAAACATTCATTCAAGTTGGCAAGTAAACTTGACATGTTGAATCTCCTAATGAACCTAACAACTATTAAAACAATCTTCACAAAGTATAGATTTTATTCACATTTTTCGGGATTCCCATGGCTAGAAAAACAACTAATCAACAACAACAACGACAACAACAATCAAGCCTTTTTCCCAACTACTTGGGGTCGGTTACATGAATCCTATATTTCCATTCCGCTCTATTTAAGGACATAACCTAAGTCAATCCACATGCTATCATATATTTTCTCACTAACTCTACCCAAGTTAACTTTGGTCTTCCTCTCCCCTAGTATTACCCTGAATGTGGACTCTATCACATTTCCTAACTGGCACACAGCTGGACACTTAAAGGTCTTCTTTGCATATTTCCAAACCATCTTAACCGATTTTCTATCATTTTATTTCCAAATTGTGTTACCTTAACCATATTTCGAATGTGATCATTTACCACACATCCATCTCAACATTCTCATTTTTGCCCCACTCACTTTGTGCATATGTTCTTAACTACCCAACATTTTGTGCCATAAAGTATGGTTGGTCTAATAGTTGTTTGATAGAACTTTCCTTTCAATCGTAAGGAGATACGATCATACGCCTATCACACAATATAGTAGATTCACTCTTCAATTTAACTCATCCTGCCTTGATTCTATGATTAGCGTCCTCTCTCCAATTTCTCCTTCATTATGAGTAATTGAGCCTAAATAAGCGAATATGGTCACTTTTTTGTACCTCTTGATTCTCAATCCTCACTACATCCTCATTTGTATTTCTAGATTTACCAAAGTTATACTCCATATATTCAGTTTTATTTCTACTTATCTTGATTCCTTTTTGGTTCTAAAGCTTCTCTCCAAATCTCCAAGTGGCATTAACTCTAGTCTCATTGACTAAATAATATCATTGGCAAATATTATACACCATGGAATCTCATCTTGGATGTGTCTTGTCTACTCATCCATAACCAAGGCAAAAAGGTGTGAGCTTAATGCTGACCCTTGGTGAGAAAAACAACTAATGAAGCTACTTCAAATTTGTTAATGAAAGCTTCCCTCTCTTGTTATTTCTCATTTCGCCAGTGATATTTAATAAGGTCATCTAACTAGAAAAATAATAAGAAGATCTCCAACCAGATGATGATCCATTTAAAGATTCTCTAACTGCAATTTGGTATGTGACTCATATAGTGGTAACTGGTAAGGCAATTGTTTTTCCACCACAAAATCCCAGTTTGACAAGTGTCGAGCTTGAGAGTATTCCCTTGGCCGCATGATTCTAGTGAATGAATCTTGTTAATTTGTGGAAGGTTTTCAGATTTTAAAGAGAAGTTAACTATGGCAGCTTTCATTGTGTAGCAATAGTGGAACGCTTAAAATGATGCAGGAGGTTGTAAACTCACAGTTGTAGTCAATTGGGTAATCAGTCCTCTCCAAATGGAGTTAAATGTCTTCTCCACCTCAATGGTTTGTTAAAATAAATGTTGATGGCCCTTATCATTCTTCTGTGTCTTGTGCTGGAGGTGGGTGGGTTGTTTGTGACTATACTACATGGTTTTGAGAAGATATTACTGATCTGTTGCATGCAGAAGCTTTAACTCGTCGACAAGCTCTCCTCTATGCACTTTTATGGGGTTATTTTTCAGTAATTTTTGGAACAAATTCACACAAGATTACCTAAGCTGTGAAGAAGCTTTCAAGTGCTCCATTGGCGCTATCTGTGATTGTTGAGGATGTTCAAAATAATTTTTTTTTTCCTTTGGCACATGAATTATGCACTTTTGCTTTCGAGAGTAGGCGTTCTTACATGATTTCTTCCTTTCCACATACTGATTGTACTTGGGTTGTTTTTTCACTTATCAATCCGCAAAAAATAAATTTTTTATTTATTTTTTAAAAATAGTCCGTAAATAAATTTCCTATCCACTATATTATTCAGCTCCCTAGACTAATTTAAGGCCCTCTAATTATACAGACCCAAAACAAAGACCAATTGAGACAATTCACGAAACATAAAATCATATCCAGGAAGGGCACCACACAACAACATTGATAACAACATATATAATACCATGGAACATATATTATCCAAATATAACTGATTGTTATACATATATAAAAGCATTCAAAATCACCTTAAGAACAAATAATAACCAATATATATATATATATATATATATATATAACAACTATTGCCTATTATGAGATCAAACATATCATTGTGGCACATGATTAGCACCTACAGAACTCAACCTAATAAATTTTATGAAAGGCAAAAAAAAAAAAAAAAAAAATCAGTATGAGAATGTAGTAGACAGTGAATAAGAACTTAAGTAATTCATACCTCACGATTATCGGTGACTTTGAGAACCAATTTACCATCGCAATGTCTGTATTTCATTACATAACGTGTCTATGACCCAGTTGAATTGAAAAGAAAATAAAAATAAAAAATTAGTAAAATAAAGAGAATAAGATACTATATTAACGAAAATTGAAGAAGTATAAGGTAGAAGAAAGTACGGAATCGGGGTCGGCACGAAACAGTTGGATGGATCTCTCCACGAAATCGTCCCATGATGTGATGTAAACCATTGTGTGTGTGTGTGTGTACAGAGAGAGAGTTTGAGAGATTGCAGAGGTCTTGTCGATCTATTGAGGTTTGAATTTTGGGGGTTTAGGCTTTTAGAGAAGGGCCTAATCACTCTTTAAATGGGTTTTGGGCGAAGCAAGCATTGTTTGTGGGCGTAGCCGACCAATATACGATTCCTTAGCAATTCAGAATCTGCACGGACTTTGAAAAAACAAATTAAATGCATAAATAGAATAAAATAAAATAAAATAAAAATTATTTCAGTTTGGTTCGTTTTGGTATTTTGTGACTTTTGTCTATAATTTTTTAAAATTCAGTTAAAAATAAAAAAATTGTTTGATAATTATTTTTTTATAGTTATCTAAAAATAATTCATTTTAAAAAAGTTAAACAAAACATATTTTGAAAATCAATCCATGTCACGGTGGGGTGCAACTTGGACGATTAACTTAAGCCCAATTCTATTTTTCACGATTTTAGACAACTACTTTTGCAAAAAGGGTTGTGTTTAAGTTGAAAAATCTCAAATCGAATTTAACAAAGGTTGGGATTGGGTTAAGGTGCCAGATAATCAAACCTAACTCGACCCAAAATTCTGATATTATTTACTATATATTTTTAAAATTTAAATATATTATATATAATATTCAAATTACGATTACATTTTTCTTTACAAAATTTGTTAACACTTTGGAGAATAAATTTTCTAAAAATTTGTTTGCGACTTTTTAGAAATTTGCATCAAGTTTTTTTTTTTTTTTTTATTTTTATTTTTTTTTATTTCTACTTTTTTGCTTATGAGTAATTTAATCTTAAACTAACTAAAGAACACCTTAAATTTTCAAATGTAGATTGGACATATGAATAATTCGAATTAACTCGATTTTCCAGCCTGAATTTCCAACCAAAGTTACAAATTCGAGTTTAAAAATTCAAAGATTGATTGTGCTTAGATTGAATAGTACTTAGCTAGAGTTGAAAGTCAAATTAAAGTTAAATATTGTCATGGTTCGCGGTCGTGATGTAACGGACTTGGGTAAATATCGGTCTAAACTGGTTGAACCGGCTGGCTCATGAGGGTATTTAACGGTATCGGACCTTTGGAAAAGAGTTACGAATCAAACGATATGCCGCGTATCGGGCGATACGACGAATCATGAATATTGTATATGTTATGTTGGGTTTGAGTTGTACCTTCAACCCACGCAAGTTATAGCCCTATTCACGAGAATCAAAAGGATTATCTTTGCAAGTATGGTGGGGTGGTGTTACAAGTGGGGACTTGTCCCACATTGGATCTGGATAGAAAAGTGAATGGATATATATAGGTTGGGTGTTAGCCTCACATAACAATTTAAACTTTTGGGTCGGATCGCAAAGCACCCGCCCGTTACAGTTGGTATCAGAGCCATACCCAGTTCTTCATCTAGTGTCACGCCAAGCACTATTAAATATCACATTATTTAAAAAAAAAAAAAAAACATTTTCACATTTTATTTGATTTCATCCAAATTTTATGTATCAAATAGAGTCTATATGATATGTAAAATTCAATTGTAAATTTATTCGTAAGATGGGAATGGAATGAAGTATAGAATACTACCATTTGAGTGCAGGAAATGATTTTATGGCATTACTGTTGGAGAGATTAAAAGCCTTTTCATTTGAAAATTCTTTTAGATCTGTTTGATAGAATAAAAAAATAAAATAAAACAAAAAACAAGGCATTTTAATTGTAGAAATTTTGACTCAGGAGAGCTTATAGTCGAAGTTAAAAATTGAAACTTTTCCATATAGAGGTAAACATATATTGAAAAAAAATATTTACAAAAAATGTTTACATACTAATTTATCAAACTTTATATTTCACTAACAACATTTTTAAGTGCCCCATCCTATGATCCTAGGTTTGAATCCTCTTCTCCCAGCCTATACTTCTTTTGAAGCTACTGAACCTGTAGTCAGAAGAGATTGGCGAAGAATTTGCTTAGCTTGGAGAACACCAGGTAATCGGATACCCCTTCTCTCTTAAGGATTGGCTCTTTGCAAAATGAAGGACAGGTGAATTGTTTGATTGTAGAAAATGTGGATGATTGTGCTGGTTGAAAAACTTGATCATATATTTATGCCTGTAATGGTATATAATGCAAGAGAAGTACTTAAAAAGTATTTCAGAAATGCGCAGTTCCACAAACACGACATGAAAAAAGAAACAATTGGAGATGTGCGTGGTCGGACAGAAGCAAGCAAGACGTTTAAACTGAGTGGAAGTGAAGAATTGCTTATGATGTGATACCGCCATTACACATGTGAAATCATGTATAGGAGTAATAGCACAAAAACCTGACTCCAAGCATGACATTGTCCCTCTTAATTAAAGATTGTGGCTTTTGGTAACTAACATTGACAGCATGCATAATCTTATTGTTTATACTACTAGTAAGGGAGAGATTAGCATCAATTGTATTAATAGAGCTAAAGGAAAGAATAATTTAAGCTACTCAATTGATGCAAAGAGATTCAACTTTCAGTTTGCTTCTAAAAAAAAAATCAAATGTTACATCACATATACAACAAACAACCAATTCTTCTAATTCAAAATTGAAGCATTTGCTTTCTTTTGCTCAATGGTGTTAGAATATCGGTCTCTAAAGGCTAGCTATTCCTTCTTCTCCTTGCTTAAGAACAATTCAAATTGCAAGTGAGATCTATGAAGGTTTCTTCTCTACATGGGATGGTAAGACCGCCCATTGGATGATCAAATCCAAACTCTTCTTCAGCCCGGCTTAGCAAGTTTTGAAACGAAGGATGCTTCAAAAATGAAATTGGGACTACAAATCTCTTCTTCTCAGTTTCTCCAACATAAACAGCAACATGGCCTTTGGGTACACCGGTGATCGCTGGAGTTGAAAAAACCTGCTGGAGGAGCTGCTTAGCATGAACAATTCTGAGCAAGCGGATACCCATAATTTTGTATCAAAAAGTTTTTTCTTGGAGAAGTAAGTACTTGATCTTAGGACTTTGTTAAACAAAAGAAGCTTTGAGATGTGGGTGGTTAGCAAATGGTGCAACACACACACATAAATATAGAGTAAATGTCATAAGACTCAAGAGAGTAATGCACTGAGTGGTCCATGAAAGACATGTCATGTGGCATCACATTGTTATGCCTCCCAACAGAGAGAACATGAAAATTTGTCTTGATGAAATATATCATGGGCCATAACAGAACAGACAATGAATATGTGGGTGGCTTCTCATGGCCTATCACTATCACAAAACAAACAGTGTAATATGTGTGTGCCTTGTCATGGCCTATTTCTATAACAGGAACACACAATGGAGATGAAGTTGAAAAAAAAGTGGCCTACTACTTATAACTATAAATCAATACAGGCCATGCATACTTGTTAGGTTTGAGATCAGATAAACATAAAGGTCACAGTAGTTGTGTATGTTATGGCACCACCGAACATGTTTAAAAAGTTAGCTGCTGATCTTGTGACAATGTTCCTTGCAAGTGATAATTGGTGATGATCATATAAGCTTGGACCTAAAATTGGATGGGATGAGTTGGAAGACAAAACCATGTGATCCTTCATGTTCTAATGTCTTTCACAAATTGCCATCCAAATCCCTCTTTACCACTCATTCCACATTGCAGAGGATTTTTCACTATATATATCCACATGAGTCAGTCTACAACCAACACAAGTCTCTACATTCTTCACTATCAAAACTTTCATTTGTTCTACAAATTCTTTATAAACTTCAGAGAGAGAGAGAGAGAGATTTATATATACAACAATGGGTTTCCGTGTGCCTCGTATTGTTCATGCTAAGCAAATTCTTTGACTGCCTTCTTCGACAACAAACCAAGCAGGTTCTATGGTTCTAAATGTCCCAAAAGGCTACTTTACAGTTTATGTTGGAGAGGGTGAAAAGAAGCGATTTGTGGTTCCAATATCATTCTTGAACCAACCTTCATTTCAGGACTTGTTAAGTCAAGCTGAGGAAGAATTTGGTTTTGACCATCCAATGGGTGGTCTCACAATTCCCTGCAAAGAGGACATCTTCATTGATATCACCTCACAATTGAGCAGATCATGAGACATTTCTATTTATATAGACACAATTTTGTAAAGCATTAGTCATCACCTCCATGTACAAATTTCAATTTAAAGTAGTGATCATGCTGTTCTCAGACAATGTAAAATACAAATACGTTATTTCATTTAAATCTTTGTTGCAATATATGTATGTATGCATAAACTATGTCCATGGTAAGATCTGAATGTAAAAGTACTAAGTTTGTAATGCTGCACATACTATAAGTGGTTGTTCCATGGTTCGTGGATCGTCTCTAGAACCTACACAAGTAAGGCCACCATGCCAATCTAATATTTGTAACTGAACTTTTCAGAAAAGTCAGAGGAAAGGGAGAGGTCTTGGATGTCAAGGTCATAGGTTATATGGATGTCCTAAGATCAACTAAATCCCAGCTCATTTGATCACCAGTCTAGAGAATAAACGTCACAACTGGTATATTTGTGAACTATAATATGTTTCACTCATCCTCTCGAGATGTACCATTGATGTTCAACGATCACCAGGCATCTTACACATATCTCAATCACTATGCTCATTACTTTTCCTAACCTTCATCCCATGCACATTTTGAGGTGTACCGGCTTAAATAAATAATAGGTCGTGTCTTTCAGCCTTCAGCATACCTATCTGAAATCTGGCCCAAGCTTATATCATCACCAATTAGCACTTGTATGTGTTGAGGAGAAATGTCACATGAGCAACCAACTTGTCCAATCTTATGTTGTGCAGTGATATTAGGGGTTAAATCCTTCATAATATTTAAAATTTAATCTCCAATCTTATACTGTTGGAGGTCTTTGTGTTTATTAACAACAAACCTAATAAACATGTAATGCAGTCTGCAGATACATATGCTCTGCTCAATGAATGTGTTCAGGGCCCTACAGTATATATATATATATATATATATATATATATATATATATTTAAGAAAAAAAAAAAAACCCAAATAGGATTTAGGATATAAATTATAAATCTCAATTTTGTATTTATTTATTTTTTATTCTTTTCCATAGAGGAGATTGGGGATGAAAAAAAATGGCCCCCTCTTTCAAAATATTATAAAGTAGAGATCATGCTCTTTCTCAGACAATTTCAAAAGCAAATACATTATTTCGTCAAAATCTTTGTTTCTAATTCTATAGATTTTATTTAGACTTTGGGGTGCATTTATTTTTTTATTTTTTATTTCTTTCTTTAATCTTATATAATCTTGTAATTGTATTAATCAGGAAAATCACAGATAAAGTGGGGAAAAGTTATAATTTCAGGGCAAAAGGGTTTTGAGATGTCCTAATCTCAACTAAATCTAAGCATAATTTGCACTCTGGTCTACAGAATAACAATTGGAACTGAAATATTTATGAAGTAACCATTTTAAAGTTCAGCTCCTCAACGTGTACTTACCACTAACATTTGTTTTGCATAGACAATAAAATTAGAGATCATTTTCAATTGCTAAAAGCCAAATTTTAATGACGATTAACAATGAAATGCTAACTTCATGATCAATGTAATGTGTCCCTCAACCAGCCATTAGTGTATGTGTAAAATTTAATGAGTGGTAAAGTGACATTTTCTCTTTGTATGATAACATACCATAAGCATTCTGTGGTGAAGTTTGTATCTGTCGAAAAGAAATATAAATACTCTGCAACCTTCTCTCTCACGTAAGAAAATACTATGGACTTGAATAGGGACAAAGTGAGTACATTTTCCAATTCTAAACCACAGTGAGAGGCATGACAATCCTCCATTCTAGTGGTCTTCAATGCTACCCACCACGTCTCAAGTACTTAACAGATGTTATTGTGAGAGGATTGCTAAAAAATGATGGACCGATCTCACTTTTGATTATTGAAATAAGTGTACGACGGGGATTTGTAACAACCTGAATCCGTGGATCCGAATCGCTAACCGATTTCTTACTTGAACCCGAGGTTAATTAAGGATACTACCGTCTTTTCCTATGTCAATACATATTATACGTACCATTCCACGATTTATAAAAAATTAAATAATAATAATAATTAAATAAGATCATAATTACAAATTATGTCAAAGCAATCCACTAACCCATCAAGACCTGTGGAGCGGCGTCGTCCGCTACTTCCTTCTCGTGACCTGAAAATTGTTAAATATAAGGAGTGAGTAGGCAACTCCTAAGCGACCGGGTTTTTTCACAAACCTTTAATCAAAAACTTTTTTTCCAAAACCATTTTTTTTTCTTTCTTTCCATTTCAAATCAAAATTTCCCCTTTTCATGCCCAATGTCATGCATGTCATACATGAATGCATCATGCCTTTCCATGCCATAATTCTTCACATATTCACATTTAAACCATATATCATACTTAAGAGAAATTTGTGTAATACATGTACCATGCTTTCACATTTTAATTACGGTAATTTAAATACACGAGGCATGGAACAAAATCACTTAAAACATGTTTTTTTTTTTTTTTTTTTTTTTTTTTTTTTTTTTTTTTTCACAACACAATAATCAATAACATGTCACATACATTTAATAACACATAGGGTCATGTATATAAACATAAAATTCAACTTTAGCATGTCATCTCATACAATTCAACTAGGCAATACACATATGGTCAATTATCACATGATATACAATTATCATATTAAATACACAAGATTTATATAAGCATAAACAATTTTCATGAAATTAAAACATGCTATAGCCAAATTTTTAAGGAGAAAATTCACAAAAAATCAAAGAATGTGGGTATTAGAGACCCCTACCTCAAGAATTGCAAAAACCCCCAATTTGCCCAATCCAAACCCTAGAATTCGAAATTCTTAGGGTGCACTAAAACCACCTTTGCTCCAATCAAATCGAAGATCTCGACGCACTTTCCGTTTTGTCGTAAACGGCTCCTAAAAATATCAAAAATTAAGGGAGAAATCTAAGTTTAAAGATTGAAACCAAAAGAAAAAGAAAAACTCTAGAAATAGGAGGAGAGAGAGGGAGAGACTTACGGGAGAGAGAGAATTTGTGAGGCCAATGGTGGCCTTTTGCCACTTTAAGTGGTGGTGGGTCCCACCACCAAAACTAATTTATTTTTCTTTTATTTTCTTTTCCTTTTTACACCACACAATTATATATACACATTTAATAATTCACAACCACATAAATATAATAAATAAGATGCATGAGGTGCGAATGGACCCAACTAAAAATCCTTGTAAGCAAAAATTCCGGTAGTGAGTCCCACACGGGACCGTTCGGTCCGAAAAGTAGAAAAATACAAAAATGACAACCTTGGCATTTCAAAGAGTCCTGGACTCAATGAAATGTCCCAACCAACTCTCGGACACAATCGGTACACTTCACGGTGTCCAGTACGTAAAACGAGAAAAGACAACAATGCCCTTGCATGAACGAAAAATTTCAGAAAAATGGAAAATGGCGAAATTCAGAAATATTACAATCTACCCTCCTTAAAAGATTTCGTTTTCAAAATCTACCCTCCTTAAACTCACAGCCATACACCTTCCGAGAACACCTCACTAAATTCCGAGATTAAGAACTCAACAATCTTGTTGCCTTTGACACCCAATGCCAATAGGCAATCATACACTGTCGTGAGAAAAACTGTAATGATCCGGTCATTTTCTTCCTTTCATTTTTCCTCAAATTTTACGGATAAATTTTTTTCGTTGTCTTTTCTATTCTGTGTTTGGTTTTTCATCACTAAGTGTCGTCTCGAGTGCTCGGAAATGGTTTTTGAGACTCTTTCCTTTGAATTGACAATTTCCTTTAAGGATCGAGTCATTTCCATATTTTTCTTTTTTCAACACTATTCACTTTTCGTCCTTTTCCCTATTTTGTCTTTTCCCTATTTGTCACTTTTTGGCATAACCTCACTTTTCATGCTCGGAGTTGATTTTTGACTTCACGTATCTTTATTCTAAGTGATTTACATGAAATACGTATTTTTACTTTTGCAGTAAAGTACTCTGGTTGCTCTCGGTGTCCATAGGGGCATGGATGCATAGTTTTTTTAGAATCTTTTTCTTTTCTTGGGGTATTTTTTGTAAATATCTTTTGAAGATATTTTATTTCAAGGGTTTTTAAGAAAATATTTTTGAAAGATATTTTCATTTTGGGTCATTAGTGCAGTTTTCATTTTTTGGAGGGGCCATTGTGCAATTCATGAAAGTTATCGCAAAAATGCCTCGTTTTAAGCATGGATCCTCATATGGGATTCATTTTCATTTTTTGTTGAGTCATGTACTCTTAGAATTGTCTTCTGGTCGTTTTTTCCCAGTTTTAGGATTTCTGGCCTCGGTTGTCGCCGAACTTGTTCGGCGCATATCTCTCTGCTCGGGACTCAGTTTTTGACGCTGTTTCTTCCGTTGTTCATATTTTCTCATTTCGGTTCTTTTTTGTTCACAAAGTTTTGCCGTTTGAGCACGTCTGCTCAAATTTTACAATTCCGGACCCGGTGAGGCCCTTTCGGGGCACTTTTAGGGTTTTCCTATAAATAGGGGGTTATAAAATTAAAAAGTAATCTTCCCCTCCTTGATGCATGACCAGAAGCTTCCATGGTAGCCCAAGAGGGTTGCCACCCTTCTTCTCTCAATTAAACCTCTTTTACTTTGTTAAAAAGTCGTAGTGCCTTCGTGTTTTATGCTTGTATTGACTATGTGCATCTTTCCCCCTTATTAGAATCCGTTTTTGGCCATTTTTTGAGTTCGGGTTTGAGGTCAAGTTTGGATTTTGGTATGTCTTCTTTGGAGTTTAATGGTCATTGTGTTGTCCCCAACATAACCTAGGAGTATCGTCGGATTCGGAGCACTTTTCTTTCGGTGGGGATTTGAGATTTTCATTTCAAATTGAGGTAGGGGGTGTTATAGTTTCATATTTTTGTTATCTTGCGTGCTAATGATGCTTATACAACTTGTATGTATACTTTTGTTCATAATCTAGAATTTAATTTAATTATTTTCTTTGTGTAAAATTTAATTCTTATGATGATATTCAACTTATAATTAAATTGTGACATGCTAGGAATTTAGGCTTTGGTATGGTGGTTGATGTATATTAAATTGGGATTAGTTGAATAAGAATTGTAACTTTTATTTAATATTTATTTTTTGTGAAAGTTTAATTCACATAGTTGTATCAAGTATGAAATAAACTTGTAATGTGATATTAAAGTAGGCCTTAGTGAGTTCTTGAACATATGTTAATTTGAGAGCATTTGGAGTTGTTTAAAAATCTAAAGGAAATTAATTAATTAGCTTAATTAATTTTATTTTAAGTGTTTTAATCACTTAATTAGTTATTTGATGTTATATAGGTGATGACTATGATATGTCTTCAACATATATAAATTTGAGGTTATTTGGAATTAATTTGGAATTTAGAGAATTTAATTATTTTTATTTAATTAAATTCTATCTAATTGCACCATGGATTTAATTATGTTTTAGAAATTGTTTCTATGTTTAAATCATGAACTTGGACTTGTTGTATATTCACTTGGTTACATTTTGAGTATTGGATAACATAGTTGTTATATTTATATTTATGAGAATATGTTTTCCTTATTGAATATATCATTGTCTTGTGTAATGAGTTGCACATTTTGTATTTGACATCTTTCATGTCATAGTAGTTATGGACTTAGAACATGTATTGTATGTGTTTTCAATTTTGGTTGTGCGTGGTAGATAGTTGATTATTTTATATATACATGTTGATATATACGTTGTTGTACAACTTGTTGATTTTGTAAACTTAGGGATGTCGTTGTTTGACTAAGGTTAGGACATGGTTTTAGTACAGGGGATTGTCCCTCTACAAGTCTAGTGCGCACATAGGGAGGTTACCCGTGGGCTAGTAATTCTAAAGTAACTATGGCGTCAGTCTGATCCGGCGTGACGTCTAAGCATCCACCTGGTTTGATTTTGCATTTCATTTCAAGTTCATAACTAGATAATATCGTAACTTGTTGTTCCTTATTTGATTTTCTATTTTGAGTTTCAAGATGTTAACTTGAGAAATCATGCTTTATGCGTGGTATTGGAAGTTCCAATGTTGGTTAAATTGCATAGATATCGTGACTTGTGTTTTATTGTTCTAATGTAGCTTAGGATGATTCCTTAGACTCATTTGGAACATAGACGCTAGGTGGCATGACCCACTTTAATTATTTTCGTATCTTAGATTGCAAATTGACACTGTTGAGAACCTATATCTTGTCGCGTTGTATAGTATGTTTCTATATGGTTAAATTGCATGAATGATGTGATTTATGCTAGAAATGATTTAAGGTAGCTTATGATGCTCCCTGAGTCTCATTTTGACATAGATGTTAGGTGGCATGAGCCCCTTGACATGTTTCAACTTAAGGTGATAATTTTGTAAAATGCTAGGTCGATGCATGCTCATTTTTTACGAGTAGCTTTATATTATTCACCCCGAAGGTACTAGGGATTTGTTTTAGGTACGAAGGCTTGGTTTGTGATACTCATCATTCCTTGGATGACTTGTACCATTTAAGTTTCCATTTCATGCAAATGTTAGCATGAAATGTCATTTTGTAGCCTTATATGTTAAAACTTGTATCCTTGATTCCAAATATGTAATGTGTACCTAAGTGCACTTTTTGAATGCTTATTTTGTATGTATGACATGAGGCCAGGGGCCATTAATTCTAAGGTTTACAAATATGTTTTTTTTTTTTTTTTAAAAAACTTGAGATTTTAGTACTTGGTACTATTCATCGACTTTTTTTTGAAAAGTGTGTCGACCGATCTTAAACTTTCGGGGGTCTTGTGGGTGTATTTTAAGATTGCATTTTCAATTTAGACAATAAAAAAACCTTCCGAAGCCCTATTTCCTTTCCTTTGGCAGCAACTCGGAAAGATTTTAAACTTCTTGACCTGATTTTCTTGGGGGTATTTTGGGTATTTTATAGTGCATTTTCTTTGTTTCCGTCCGCGTTGTCAGGTAAAAAACTTGATTTTTTTTTTTAGGGGGGGGGGGGGTGTTTATTCTTCGTGTTTTTCCAGAAAAATTTGTTTGATGGCCTATTTTTGCTCTCAGTCGCGGACAAATCCTGTAGCAGTTTTTTAATCCTTTTGACCTCTTATGATCTAGGGGCAATTTGGGTATTTCACAGTGAGTTTTTTTGTGTTTTCATCTACGTTATTGGGTAGAAAACTTGATTTTTGGGGGGGGGGGGGTTTCTTTTTTGTGTTTTTCTAGAAAAATTCTTTTCGAACCTCGTTTCGACTCTCAGTTCTGGCTGGAACTTTTCTTCCCCTAGCATGTCATGGTGCTTGTCGGGGTGCTCGTCTCGACTTCGTGACGTCGATTTTTATTTTCGCTCGTTCTCCTTCGTCCGGACTCCAAATTGAGTGAACTTTTTTTTGAACTTGATTAATTTTTCGCTGTCTTTCCAACGGTGTGCTCGGTTGTACCCGCATCTTCCTAAATAATTACCAGTTTACCCTTTTTGCCTTAAGGGCTCATTTTTCTTCGTCATGCCGTTTCTCCTTCGTCCGGACTTCGAATCATGTGATTCTTGAGTCCATCTTGATTGGTTTTTTGTTGTCTTTCCAGCGGTGTGCTCAGTGGCACCCGAATCCATATTTTTAGAAATGACTAATTTACCCCTGGGGGCTAAATTGTTACTTTTCAGATCTTTTGTTTCCGCGTCAGTTCTCATTGATTTTCAGACCTCATGGAAGGTCATTAAGGTGTCTTAGAGGCATGTTGTGCCTTGGGAGACCGTTGTCTTGTTTCTTACTTCCGCATCTAGATGCGCTATCGGGTCAATCTTCGGTTCATCACTAGATGTACTGGCTTAAAAAACCAGGGTCGTCACAAAAACTCAATGCTCACCACAACACCAGACCATTTGGTATGCCCTACGCTATACCCGACTTAAAACGGACATCGGTTCACTCTGCACTATTACACAAGACTTTGGAGCTCGAAAGAAGAACGGTCATAAGACCCCTGAACATGACAATATCCTATCTCAGCACATCCTTTAAAAGACACAAAATTCCAAACAAGGAACCCCATCCATCACACAATCAAGCTCAAACTCAAATCTACACGCCCCTGTCGGACCAAGCACTCGATATCCACCGCATAGTTACACCACTGCATCATATGGCAATCATCATACTAAACAACTTCAAG